GGTTGATTTCGAGATTTTTTGAAATATTCTGGTTGATTTCAATGGGTTTTTTCGGTGTTTTCTTGATGATCCTTATATTTTCTAAAATTCCCAATTACTGCTCAACTTTTTATAGGTGCATCTTTTATATCCAAAAAATGTTTACTTACAAAATTGAGTTCATAGGTGGGGGCCTTGAGAACACAACGACAATAAATTGCAACTATTTCCTTTTTGGTATGTTTCATTAAAAAATCAGCAATCAGAAAAAATATATTTTTACAACATTAAATATCACAAATACAAATAATTATTCTGATATTTGAAGTCAAATAAACACAACTAATAAAGCCAAATAATGGACGTTCACAAATATGTATCTATAAATCGTGAAAGTGTGACATTTGGATATGACGACAATATATTCATTATATAATTTTGCTTAAAAATATAATATCGTTTATATATAAAAGAACAAAAAGTACTGTATACAATAACAAGTTGGAATTTGGAAGGTACATATGAAACCATAAAATACAATACTCGATTGACCCAATCCCATTTTAAATCTTCGATACTATCATCGCCAGTCGCCACTATAAAAATTACCCAAATACAAACCATGTTTTTTTATTATGTTATAAAACATTTAGATAAAAAGACGATGGATCGTGTGAGAATAGAAGTTAAAGTGAGAAGGGATTTGGATCCTTGATCACTTTTAATCTCAAACCAACTCATTAATTACGTTTTATAAGGGAATTGGTCTTGTGCTTGTCATTAATTAATGTTGATCTAGTGAAACCTTTCAATTATGATTGATCCAAGAATGAAAATCTCTTCTTATCCTTCTCACCACAACTCACATTCTCACTAAAACTCAACCCAATAAAAAAAATATCATGGAGTTGGTTTTAATGTTTTACACAATATTATGCATTAATATGTGTATGGAATTAGAGTTGGAAGGCCAGATACAATAGAGCCAAATATAGAATTACCATTCAGATATGTTTTATGAGGTCTCAAAATACTAATATGCATAGTTTTTTGTATGATGTTTACAAATGTGATTGGATGACATGGAGGCATTGTTTGTTTTAAACAAAAATTTTTATTAGTCTCTTATGTCTGATTCGTTAAAAGGTATGGTAATTCATATTGTTTTTATTTTATTTTTCAAAGACACTTATATCTTATCGTCTTCTTGTCTGGTAAAAATGAAATCAACCTCTTATTTGTCTTTTATTTTTCTTCAATTCTTCAACAACGACGTTTATCAATTGATTAACATTAATCAATCATTTCTCTCAATCGATCCTCACCTCTCTCAGTTAAGGTATTTCAATAAGATTTAAATGTGTTAAATACCGTTAATGACATATTCTCATTTAAATAAATGTTAATAATATAATTTTGATGTAAATTTCGTAATTATGATGAATAAATATGTAAAATTGTGTAAATTTATCCATAAATTTAACACTACAATTTTTTAAATGGGTAAAATAGATAATTTAAACAAATTTAGATATTTATCAGTTTACAAAAACAAACAGTCTTATATATTCAGATTTCAGACTTTAGCACCATCTCTTATCTACTGTGTTTTTGGCATATGATATTAGAACTTTAGATCGGAGATGTATGGATTATTAAACAATTAGTAAAACATTCTTTTTGTTATGATATCTTGACAGTGTTTTTGTAAACTTTGTATATTTGATATCAAATTATCAGTGCATGGTTATTCTTTTGTTTATAGTTTTATATGAATTTAATTTGTTTGATAGTTATTGTTCAATATATACGCCAACTCACATATACATTTGTATGATATATATATACACATATATATACACACACAAATTTATTGTCTTAAGTCACACCTTGAAAAACGCTATGATTTCGTCGTAACTTGTAAGGCTTGTGTCTTGACCTTGCCGCCATGTCATACCTCACGCCATTTAGAACCTTGATTAAAACCGAGAATGACTACACCTTTGATAAGATAGTGGCTGCCGAAATTTATTTGATGGTTATGAGATGTTACAAAACCGTTCCATAGTAGTATTATCAATAGGTGTACCCACTTATCAACACCAATGGAAAATACCGCAAGATGATTAGCATTAATGTTGCCACTGATGAGAACTCATATTACCACTTATATGAATTATTATATGAACTTATAAACGACACGATCTTACAACCTTTAAGATGAGAGTTTCATTTGAATTATCCCAATACGAGATTTGTGATACCTAAAGCAATAAGGGTTGAATTATTATATTCGGAAACCATAATTTCCACAATCTAAATGATTATTCGATCCATGTATCATCTCCAATCCCTAATTTCTAACATAAAAGATAAGTCCATGGTGTTCAAGGACCCCTTGTATGTCCTAGGGGAAACACTCCTTCCAAGGTCCAAGTGTTTGATACGACCAATGATATTATTGAGCTTTCATGAGTAGGAAAAAACATTGAAGTTGGTCAGTAGCAATGTTGATACACTTGGACCCTGGAATGAGTGTTTCCCCTAGGACATACAAGGGGTCCTTGAACACCATGGACTTATCTTTTATGTTAGAAATTAGGGATTGGAGATGATACATGGATCGAATAATCATTTAGATTGTGGAAATTATGGTTTCCGAATATAATAATTCAACCCTTATTGCTTTAGGTATCACAAATCTCGTATTGGGATAATTCAAATGAAACTCTCATCTTAAAGGTTGTAAGATCGTGTCCTTTATATACATCCAAATTCTAATTCACATATTTATATGAGAGATCGATGGCGACGAGCGGTTAAAACAGTTAAGACATAACTGTACAGCAGTTACAACCGTTGATGGATAAAATTTGAGAGCAATTATAACTAACTCAGTTAGAAGCAATAAGTCTACAATGAGTCTCGAGACTCTGACCATATTGTCTAAAGCTTTGATCACATAGTCTAGAGCCTTTAACTTTCAACACTTAAAAAATTTGAGCGAAAGATCGAAGCTCTGAGCTTAAGTCCCAAAGGCTATGAGTCCACACACCTTTGAACTATACTTAAGCAATTCCCATCAAATTTCAGCAACAATTTCGAGAAGGCTGTAGCACCAAAAAATCTGTAAAAAAAACTTTTACTTAACACTAAGCTTACTCCAACACAAAGAGTATCAATGAATTACTTACAAGGTCTAGCTAAATTAAAAGTCAAGATATTTCCAAACCAAACCCCATATAAGGATTAGATTAAGAACATATGTTACTAAAACCCATTAACCATTGATATCTCCAGCGTAGGGAAGACACACCCAAATAGTTAAATCCTTCTCATACCTTTAACTATCATTCAGCTATTCTCAATGTCGCTAGTACCATTCACCAACGAGTACCTAATGCACATGCCGACAAATAAAAAGAGTTACTCGTAACGCCTAGCGAATTCAAAAAAAAATCCATCATTAACATAAAACGGTAAAATTGAAAGAATGCTACTTAAATCATAATTTCCAAAATGAAATATATTAAATATAAAAGCAACATCTTTTCCAAAATCCATCATTTTCATGATGAAAACTCAACGATCAAAACATCCATTTAAATGAAAACAAAACTCAATACTCACACAAAATTCGAATAAGGTTTAATATTCAAAAAGTGATATTCAAAATATACCAAAACCATAATTTATGGATACACTCCATACCAAGAACAACAATGAAAACATGGATAATACACTATCCAAAAATAACACCTTTCGGTGACATGGAAGACTTGATTCCACTAAATGTGGTAGAATACAAAAGTAGTTCATATATCAACGTTATCGAACTGCTCCTCAGATTTATTTACTTCAGTGTCCACTATAACAAGTGTCACCTAAAGTCCTCAATACATTTAATGCCTACTCCATCGAGTTTCATCTCAAAGCCACAATATTTCATGTAGACTTGTTCGAGTGTCACCTCAAGAATACCAAATCTTAGCGCCCATTCATTCTCTTGTTGAGTTCCAACCTCCATGTTCTCATTCGACATTTAGTGTCTACTCACTAGTATTCAATATAAGAACCTCAAACTTTCTACTTGATAACGCAATATATTTAACCCTCATGCATAAGAGCTAAAGCATCAAAACCATAATACCCACTGTCGGGGAGTCTGACTCATAGGAGTTCACCTTCGCAATACCAAGATCACCACAATGCCTACAGGAGCATTGGTCACAAAGTGACAACATCAAGACTAGTCACTTATCAAATACAACTGACTTATATGTCTATGGGCTATGGATCAAATGTATTACAATCTAAATTACATAACTTCAAATGAATGACCAACATACTTAAAACAGGTAAATCGCGTCCAAATCTCAACAGAGTAATTTAAAATAAACAAATGTCCCCAAAACTCAATCAAGTTAAAATCAAACCAATAACTTACAATTTATTTGACTATTCAAGTAAGTCAATATACTAATAAAATATAAATACTCCATGTTTATACAACTTATGTCCCAAAGGTTTAAATATATCATTATTGATTTAAAATCTGGGCAAAATCCCGAAATACACCATGGCTTTAAAGAAGCATTTCTTAATCAGTAATAACACTGAAAGTGTCCTAACTCAACCATGTGTATTTTTCATGAATGATTTATAAAATTAAAATACCAAAAATGCATTAACATCAAATAATCTCATACGAGGAATAAATCATCGAAGTCCGAACACTATGATTTATTCAGAAAAATATTCCCAAAAACTCCAAATGAACATATTTTTCAAGATTATATAAAATCAAATATGCAATTTCATCAAGTGACAGTATTTGATAAAATCTTTAAGGAAACATTTTAAGACTCTAAAATACACATTTTTGACATGTACAAAGTTTACACAAAACAACTTGAAACTCACCTAGTTTCCCGGAATCGCTAGTAATCGCCGGTCAGCCATACGGTGGTGAATCCATTCCCAGGCCTTGTACACACTGCCCGTCACACTATGGGACCCCTCAACCTCTAGCTTCCATTGGTGAAGGTTTAAGTTCCACAAACAAAACTCTCCAAGAAAACATCTTAAGATCGCCATCCAAGTCAGAAGATACCAAGAGTTAACCCAAGATTCAAACACAAAAAAATTCCAACAAAATAGATCTTAGAATACCTAAAAAGCTTACCTCTTTAAGAATTTTTGAAACCATCCACCATAGATCATAAAAACCTTCCACTTGCTCTAGAAAGCCTCTAGAAATCAGACTTTAGGGCTCCAAAATCGCCCAAAATGGAGAAGGTGGAGAAAAATAACAAACCCTAACTCTAAAACTACTTTTTATACTTAGAACCCGATGTCTATTGTGCCCCGCGATTGTGACATTATCATAACCGCATGACACAATTGTCTAAATGCACCACCTCTAGGTATATCTCATGCTATTTTGCTCGACGATTGTGACAATGGCATAATCGCATGGCACAATCGCGTCATATGTTGTTATTGTGCCCACCATCGTGCCATTGTCATAATCACATGTCACAATCGCCCAAATGCACCATCTCTCAGTACATCTGATGATATTGTGCCCACTATCGTGCAATTGTCACAATTGCTTGGCACAATCGTCGGAACGACCAAACACTCAGTATCATGGTGCCATCATGATAGATGTCACAACTGCATGGCACTATAAACTGGGACGACCTTACTCTCAGTACCATTGATGTCATTATGACAAATGTCACAACTGAATGACACTTTAACCGAGACAACCAGACTTTCAATACCAGCAGAACTATTATGATAGATGTCGCAACCACATGGCACTATATCCCTACTCCATATTTGGTTTTTCCTTCACTCACTCGGTTCACACTTTCTTCAACCGGGACAAAGATCAGGACATACACAGCCGTTCCCTGACCATTTCCCCGGTCGTTACTCGACCATTTCCGAGAAAATTATGGGTGTTACAAGGGCTTCCAACCTTTTGAATTTCAACTAGATCGTTTTGAAACTTAAATTTGCTAAGTAAACCCCTCCTTAAAACCGCCAGAGGTTCTAGCATTTGGACCCAGCTAGGGACGCCCCCACCTTATAGTGATTTAAGGTGTAAGAGGCAACATTTGTAAATGTGCCCTCCTAATTCACTGATATTTGCCTTATCATCACTCAATCTCGAGTAAATTCACAATCACACTAAAATGATTGATGATACTAAAATCACCAACATTGTACTCCCTCCATCCAAAACTAGGGATGCTACATTGTGTAAGGTAATTCAATGGTTGAACAAGGACTAATCGTAAATTTCCCACACCATCTTCAAGAAGTGGTATCAGATGATGAGCATGAGTAGTTTTAATCTCCTTGTTAAGGCTTTGAGTTTCTCCCTAGGCGGATCAACAGGATCTTACAATAAAGTTACTCATGCCCACTCTTCTCCAAAAGGCTTTGTATGATTAATGAGAAAGGTACATTAATTTTAAGGTGAGGCAAGTAACCTAAGAAATATGAGGATATTTGAAATGGAAAAAAGGTAGCTATGTGTCTCAAAAAGGAGGATACAACTACGAATGAACAAGGGAATAATTATGAGATCAACAATTTCAATGTTAGAGTTGAATATTATCATAATGACTCGGAACGACCATAGCGTATGGGATTGATATGTTAAATACTATTGAAACTAAAACAACAAATTTAATATAGTGCACTCGAAAATTGGGTCGAAAATAGAGATTTGTAGGCATATTACAAAATCTATCTTAAAAGATAGAACAATTGTTTTCGTAAAGGTTGTCGGGCTTAAGAAAATGCGTAAGGAGATAGCTAAAAAGAACAAAGTGTACATAATGAAAGAGAGATAACACATGAAGCGTGACAAGTATTTTGTAGATATAAACGAATGTAGTTTTCGATACTATGTGCTTTACCGGCTAGGTGTTGTCCATTTTGCCATTTGGATTTTTTTAGTTTTTATTCATTGGATATAGTTTCAATAACTCAATGAGGTCCTTTACTAAACGCTTAGCGGGTAGCCGGGTAATGTTTATCATGTAATATTCTCGTACATCAAAATAGATTGTTGGTAATTGTTTTAAACCTGGTAGAAGCTAACCAAGTAAGAGTTTTTCTTCTTATTTATCGGGTAAGACTCTCGATCTATCTATGTTTTTTACCGAATAAGATTCTCAGTTCTTTTCACGTTCAATCAGGAAGGTACATAATATCGGTAAGTATTTGGTAAACGACCAGTCAATTTAACCGGCTATAACAATTCCCATCTAAAATGTTAATTATAATAGTTAATTATCAAAATTAATTTTCAGCATAAATTATTTATATATTATTTTTTTATAATTGCATTATTATGTGTGTATGAAAACAAATTCCTCTTTATTTATGAAAGGCCATTATGAGTATACCCAACCCAAGCCCTCTTTCCAGTTAGGTATTAGGTGTCTTTAGCGTGTGAAGGATCCCACAGTCCCCAACTGTTTTAACTTCTCCAGAAAGGCAAAGGCAGTTCATTTTTTCCACATTTCCAGCGTCAAGGGTCAAAAACTTTAAATCGCATCCATACCCCTCATTCCTGTTGCGTGAACCATTAAACGATTACCGCATCATGATAAACTAAATTAAATTAAATTGAAAATTAATAAAAAGTACAAATTACCTTACACGAAAGGCATATGCCACCAGACGAGCCATGATACCCTGCGGCCTGTTCCTCAAAAATAACGGCGAACAGGACGGTAAACGGTGATGGGTAACGGAACGTCACTGCACTTAACGGAACATAACACGGATTCTGATGCACGGCACGGAACATAACGGGACGTACACGGAATCTGATGCTGCGAAAACGAATGGATCAATTAAATGATTCAACACAAATCAACTAACCACACGTAAAACATATCAAAATTATGTTCGATGTTGTTTTGTAAGTTAATCCAGTGTTAATTAATATTTGAAGTTGTTTAGAAGTGTTTGGCTTGTTGAATGGAAGTGAAATAATCCAAAATGTCCTTCAATTTTGCAATCACAATGGCTGCAAGCATATACTATCATCTATGTACAAAGGGAGGATCCGTTTTGTTTCGTTTCGATAATTGATAAGCTTCATCCTTGTGTCAAAATTTAAGGATAGATTTCATGTCGCCGAATTACACAAACTGCAATCTTCGCCAGAATCCAAGCACCAGCGCGGGGAGATCTGTAATAGAAAAGGTAAGAGGTAAAATCGCCAAACCTGTAACCGTACAACCAGAGGATTTTTTGAAGAAAATCATAAGTCGTCGGCCTTGGACATTATTGATAGACGGCTTGGTCTCGGCTCAAACGCCGATCTCCTCCTCTGCTGATGCGATGACGGTCGGATCAAGGCCGCTAGAGCTCTCTTGACCAGATCTCCACCTTCGACGGTACCGATTCGCACTAGCGAGTTCGTCATCGCAGATCTACGAGCGTTCAACCTATTCGGAGAGTAGGTCATCCCGTGGCTAGTGTTGTAGTTCTTGTGCAGACTACACCGGAACGATCCTGGATGCGTCGTAGGCGAACACATACACGTCTTCTTCGGCAAATTCTTGAGCGGATTCCCGGCGTTCTGCTTCCGCACGACCTGATCTCGAGAAGACATCGCCATCGACCGGTTCGGAGATCCCGATCTGCTCGCCAACGAGAACCTCACCGATGATGACGTCACCGGAGCCAATCCGTGGAGGTTCACGCGCGTCGGCGAAGACGGACGACCGTAAACATGGCTCGGAGACGGAGACGAATAAAAGCTGGAACTCGTTGATGATGCAAAAGGCGACGACACCTCAGCAGCGAACGCCGATGAATGGACACCAAATCGGCCGGACGGAGAACTTGAACGGTGGAAGGTGGATGTCAACGGCATGACGGGTGCATTTGATTTTCTAGAAGATGTCCCCATTTTTTGCCGTCAGATAGAGAAACCTAGTACGTGTTTTGGTGTTTGTGTGTGAGAGGGCTTGAGAAAGAGGAAGGAGGAGAGAGAGAAAGAGAGAGGGGGGAGAGTAATTTTACTGAAGGGCCCTTGGCTCTTCAGTTGGGCAAACCTAGCTCTGGTCCGAGGCTGAATTTATAGGAAAAGGATGGCGAAGAATGTATTGGTTTTGGCTGGTTAACTTAACCCATTAAAAGACAGGATGGATTGACCATGGTTAGATTAGGGTTTTTATTTGTTTGCTTGAAGAATGATCCGACGGCTCAACAACGACAGGCGGCACAACAGCGCATCACCCGATCAATTTTGTGAGACGCAAAAACGATTTTGGTGGAAATTGTAAAACAAGTTTGAAAATTGAAATACTCTCGTCGACCAATTTTGTGTTTTTATAGAAAATATTTTAATAATATTATAAAAATGCATATTAATTTAATAAAAATATCAAATTGAATCAAATAAAAAAATCGAAAATGATTCAAAAATTTAAATATATAATATTATATTATTCTCTATTATAATTATTTATTTAATTACAATATTATTTTATTTAATTGTATTTCATGCATTCCTCCATAAATATGAGTAGGGATGCTCAAAAATCCAACTAATCCGATCAACCCAACATAAAATAACTCAACCTGAAATAACCCGATGTCTAATTAAGTTGTAAAAAAATTAAACCATAGGTATTGAGTTGATATTGAATTACTATTATTTGAATTCAACACAACCCAATAAACCCGATATTTTTTTATTTCTTGGATTTAATATCATTGTTGAATTTTTATTAATATATACATTAGACATTTACACTATCACGTATGCTCATCATATACATATATTTTCAATTTATTCACATATTTATGTATTTCATTCGTATATATGTTCAGTGACTATGAATATATATATATAAATTGAGAAAATTAACTGAATGTGATATACGTAAAAAGTATGAATAAGTTGTATCAAATGGTTAATGATGAAAATGAAATTATGAGTATAGAAATAACATATTCAATGTTACAATAATATATTTTAATGTACCAAAGTACCAACCCGACCAACTCGTACAATTTGGTTTGAGTTGGATTAGGTTAAGATTTTTCAAATTACAAGCATTGGATTGGATTGTTCAAATTTCTTCAATCCGATCAATCCAACTCATAAACACCATTAAATATGAGCATGATAACAAAGGTTTATTAAACATATTTTTTAAAGCAATTCCAATAATATCTTTAAATTCTATTAAATGTACTTCAATTCACTTCTAAATACAGCTGTATTTTTAAATGATTGAATTTATGAAATTTGGACGAACAATTTCCATTCCTCTAAAAAATTTCATTTTATATTTTAACATTTTTTATCATCGAATTTTTATTTATATTTTTATTAATTTAATTAATTTATATAATTTCTCAAATATTTATTTATTCAAAATAAATAAAATACTAAAATCAATTAAAATATTACATTCATCGGTTTTAAATATTTTAATATTAATTATATTACTAAATATTCAATATATTTATTTTTTGACAAGCTTTTTATAAATGGTAAATTTCAATAAATTTGGTATAAAGTAATAACTTTCAACAAACTTTTTATAACATGTTAACATTAAAAAATCAATACATTTACATTGTAACAATTTTTTTATAAAATGATAATTTAAACAAACTTTTCACAACGTGCCAACATAAAAATATCAATACTTCAGCCTAAAATAAGTGCCCACGTTTTTATTTATATTTGTTTCAAAATACGTATCCTCTTTTAAAAGTAAAGAACCAAATTCTCAAATTTACTCTTAATTAATGCACAATAATTTTAAGAGTTATAAAGAAAGAGAAATTAAATAAGGGTAAAAATGTCATTTGGTTAACCAAAAATGATAAAAATTATGTATGCTTAAAATTATGTGTCATTTCAATTGTATACACCTATTTCAGAATGAATGAAATATATACTTGGTTTGATTCCATGGATGCATGACCAGGATAACGAATAAATATATCGAGAGCAGATTTTGAACATGACTAATCTCTATTAGAACAACAAGGTTTTTATTGTGAACACTTCGTAAAACTTAAGGTTTTGGTACACAATTTTTGAAGAACTTAAATAACATAATAAGAAATTTAATTTAATTAAATAAGTTTCCTAAAATAATTTGAATAATGATTTCCTAAAATAATGAGAAAAGTGAGTTTTATTAAAATAACAGAAAAGTAAATTTAATTAATGTTATGATGAGTTGTTAAACTTTTATTTTATTTAATGGATTAATTATTTTATGTGAGTGATTAACATTTTATGGATCTTACAATATATAAGATTTTCATTTCATTAAACCCCTATTTTAAAAGAGTTAGCATAAAATTGAAAAAAAACAATCTAAATAAATCAGTTGAAAATATTTTACAAAAATCTAAAATCTAAGAACCAGATGTCCTTTGAGGTGTTTGAATTGTCTTGAACGTATAGATTTTTGTTTAATATTATCTTAAAACGCCTTGTAATGTTTGACAAAATCAAAATTGTCGATGTTTTTTTTATAATTACTAATTAATTATATAAAGCTAGTTGAAACCTTATAAATCTTTAATAATTTAAAATAACCTCAAAAGTTATTATTTTCATTGAAAAGAAAAGGGAAAATCATCAAAATGACCGGTATACATAATGTTCTAACAAAATTACCAATTTCTATGTATTTGTCAAAATGACCATCGATTTCGGTAAAGTATTTTAGTGAATTCCTTAAATTGATCCCACTTGTCATTAAAAAATAAAAAAAGCCATATATTTTTTTTTTAGCAAAACCCCATATTTTTCGCCAAGAACCTTCTAAGTTGGCTAAATGCGTGGAGTAATCTTGACTTCTTGTGACAAGTATGACCGATGTATACAATTCGCCAAACTAGCGAAATACTTGGTCATTTGACAAATACATGAAAAAGTGGTGATGTTTGTTAATTATGTATATGTACCCAAAAAAAATTTAAGTTTTTTAGTTAATTTCGAAAAGATTTTTCGGGTTTCAGGTTGATATTTATTGTATTTTCTAATATCTTGGAGCACCGTTGAAAGTTTAGTAGATGCACCTTTCATAACAAAAAAATATTTACAAAATCCAGTTTATCGTGTACACAGAACCCCATCATACATGAATAAGTCCGCCCCTATATATATAATGGTCGTTTTGATGATTTTCCCGAAATAAAATTATCATATAAATCTCAAACAATGTAATATTTATTTTAAGTGATAATCAAATAGCATTTAATAAAAATAAAAATTGAGAAAATTTAAAGATTACAATCAATCCCATTAATGTTGTGTAATGATCGTTAATAAACAATTTCGTAAAGGAATGAAAGGTTTGTTGTGTTTTTTCTTAAACTTTTGTTATTTTTGAAAGAAACGGTAGCGTTGGGGACACGAAGGGAAGTTTGATATTTTGTTATGAAGGCGGTATGATCGTTGGACCGTTTTCAAAAGGGACCTTGGGAAACGAATGGAGATTACTCCATAGCTTGTCCATTTGTTAGGCCTAGTCAACAATTAAGAATTTATTATTTTCTAATAAATATATTAAAACCGGATCATATAATCTTAAAAAGTAGCTCATGTTTTTATGTCGAACTATTGTATCGGATGTTGAAAATGTGTAATTTCTTACTGAAATTTATAGTTTTTTTAATAAATCATAAATATTATTTTTATTTATTTATGTAGATGAGTTGTGACAACTCCATCCCACTTAAATGAACTCAAAAATTCTACCTTTCATTTCATGTGGGACGAGTTGTCACATATAACCAATAAAGTTCATGTCTCAACCTCATATTTTTGCACTTGCAACATTGTAATATACGTCAGCGGGATTTAACTTGAAGAACCAGTGAAGGGTTTTCGAGCAAGTTTGATTTGGATTAAGCGAGGACGTGATTAAATCCCTTTATCACCATTAACTTGAAGGGTTTTCATATAATTATTTAAACAATATAAAAACATTTAAATTGTTGCAAGCGTATCTAATAAATATTTCGTAAGTAAATGTGTTATTTTTAAATAGTTGATTTGATACTAACATTGATATATATATATATTTTAAATTTATGATATCTTCAAATTTATATTTTATTCAAAAATAAAATCATTATTGTTTTCTTAAAACACATAAAATCGTATTATAACATCGACAAAGACAAATAATAAAATAAAACATTAAAATCGACATGTGTCCTGCTGCATTGTGCGAGTACTCTTCTAGTTATTTATAATGTGCTTCGATAATAAGAAGTTAGTTTTAAAAAAATTGGTACGAAAATTTTGCATTTTTGTATGTTAAATATATGTTTTACATTCTTTAAAATAGAACAGTAACATCATTTTCAAAGGTCAATGCAATTTAATATAAAGTGGAAAGGTTCATCAATGTCGACACTTATGAGAAATAATTCACGAACAACAAAATAAATATCTGATTATATTTTTATAACTTTCAATTATTTAATTAAATATATTTCATTATAATTAAATTAAATAAAAAAAATTCAGATTCCATCCCTACAATTATAATTATAGATTGGATACTTGAAATGAAATAATTACATCTGTAGACACCATGATTTTCACTTTGTTATGAATTGGATCATTTACCATAACTCCGGTAACGGTTACTCCGTTAAATCAAGAGAATTTTTGTTTTTTTACATTTCTATTTCGTTTTTATATAAAAAGATAGTAAAAAGTTATATAGTTCAAAAAAGAAAGTTAAATGTAGTAGAAGTAAGAAAGGAAGATTAACAAATAATCTATTGAAAAAACTACTTGAATATGCACATGTGAATGTTAGAGATCATTCACACGATTTCAAATGTGCACCTTCAAATGAATTTTTTCAATGATTTACATATGATAATGAACCCCACTTTCTTATCTTATCATGATATTTAGTTTTTTTTTTCTTTGAATCTCTCACTACATACACAGGGATGAACCCATAATTTTTCTCAAAAGATGATGATATTTGACTATAAAAAACAAATATAGAGATATTTTTCAAAAATCATCATTGTTTTG